GTGTCTTGCCAATGGGTTTCAGCCCTGGACAAGTTCATTATGGATTCAGTGTGAACAAGGAAATGACAATGGAACGTTCTTGGGGTGAAAGGGTTATACCCAACTTTATTTCCATGGTGGCAGGCCAATCACTAGAATCCCATCCACTCAGAGCGAGACTGCAAGCAGCAAGGTGGTCTCTGCCTCTGGGCCTCTCTACCTGCACAGCCATCTGTCTCTGTCCTCAGCACTGCCACCACTCCAGCCTCTGATTTCCTGCAGCTCTGCAGCCGTGCCACTGTGTTGCCCAGAGCACTGGACAGAGCTCTTCATATAGAGTCAATAGCAACATATTGCCCACGTGTGTAGTGAGCTAGCCGACCAGGGCCAGGTGAGAATCCTGGCCATAGAAACCTTCACTTTATCCACAATTAGAAACATTTTTCTTCTAGGATACTTAATTTTGTCTTCCATGTCTTTTAAACTTTTTCATATTTTCCATATCCTGTTTCTCTGTATTCCAAGTAACTTCAGTTCTGTCTTCCCACTCATCAATAATTTTATAGATATTTGAATCTGCTGTTTATCTCATCTGTGGAAGGTAGGTTAGTGCTACTGTGATGTCCATGTCCTACACCTGGAAGCTGTGACTATAGCAAAGGAGAATTAAAGTAGCAACTGGGGTTAAGCCTGCTACGCAGCTGGCTTTGAGATGGGAAGATTATCATGGCTTTAGTGGGGGCCCAATGTAATCACAAGGGTTCTTATAAGTGGAAGGCAGAAGGAAAACCAGAGATGTAACTGGAGAAGGACTTGGCCTGATGTTGCTGGCTTCGAAGATGGAGGAATGGGGCTCTGAACCAAGGAATACAGGTGGTTCCTAAAAGCTGGAAAAGGCAAGGAGATGGATTCGCCCACAGACCCTCCAAAAGGAACATAGTCCTGCTGACACTTCAATTGTAGCCCAGTAGACCTATCTCAGACTTCTGACCTCCAGAACTGTAAGATAATACATATGTGTTGTTTCAGCCACTAAATTTGTGGTAACTTGTTACAGCAGCAATAGGAAACCAATACACCATCCACTTAAGTTATTAGTTGCAACAATATTTGCTTTCCATGAGTCCTTTGATTCTATTTTTAGTTTTCTTGGTCATTATTAATATTCTCCTGTTCTTTGCTGATTCTGTTATTTTTTTAATAATACATATTGTTTTTCATTAAACTCTTTAAGATAATTATAAATCCACATGCAGCTGTAAGAAAGACTACAAAGAAATCTATGTACCCAACCCAACCTCTCAATAATTCAATGGGTAACTGTATTCACCCATATTGTTGCTTACCAATTTTTTTCCTTTCTGGTGTTCCAAAGTTCCTTCTCTTAGTATTTCCTTTCTGTTTAGAGAAGTTTCTTCAGTCCTTTGTTTAGTGTAGGTCTGCTGGCATCAAATTTTCCTAGATTTCTTTATTTTTCCCCCTTATTCTCAAAGGCTATTTTTACTGGATTCTGTGTTAACAGTTCTTTTCTTTCAGCCTCTTCTGGCTTCCATGGTTTCTTATGAGAAGTCTGGGGTCATTTGAATGGTTTTTCACCTGTAGATAAGGTGTCATCTTTCCTTCACTGCTCAAGAATTGTTGTTCTTAGTTTTCATAAGTTTGGCTATAATGTGTCTGGTGTGGATTTCTTTGGGTTTATGTTTGAGGCTCACTCTGTTTCTTTTCATTAATGTTAGCTACTATTTACTAGGCAACAGTTGTAAACCAGGCTATTTTCTGCACACTATCACTAATCCCACCACAGAGCTAGAAGTTAGGCATCTGCTAGGTTAAACCACATGGAACTGTCATGGCTTCACTTTGCTTCTTGGATCTGTAGGTTTATGTGTTTTGCCAAATTCAGGACATCTAAGCCATGATTTCTTTGGGTACTTTCTCAGCCTGCCCTCTTTATTCTCCTGAGACTCTCATGACACAAAGTTTAGATCTCCTACTATAGCTTCACAGGTCCCTGAGGCTCTGTTGTTCTTTTTTCTATTTCTCTCTGCTGTTTAGACTGAATAATTTCTGTTGTTCTATCTTCCAGTTCACTGTTTCTTTCTTCTGTCCTCTCCATTGTGCTGTTGAGCCCATCCACTAAACTTTAGATTTTAGCTGTTACATTTTTCAGTTCTAAAATTTCCATTTGGTTTTTTGTATCTTTTCTTTCTTTGCTGAGAATTTATTTTCATTTGGTTTAAGCATGTTTCTCATTGTTCACTGAAGCGTTTTTATGATGGCTACTTTAAAATCTTTGTCAGGTAATTCTAATATGTCATTTCAACATCTACTGATTGTCTTTTTCACTTAGTTTGAGATCTTCCTGGTTTTTGGAATGAGTGATTTCAATTAAACCTGGACATTTGGAACTCGTAAGACTCTGAATCTTACTGAAATCTTCCATTTCAGCTGGCTTCCTCTGAAACTATTCCAGCAGAGAAGGCTAGGGGACACTATCTTGCTACAGCTAAATGAAGGTAGAAGTTCAGGTTCCCACTTAGTTGCTATTATCACCCAAGGGAGGGTGCACCTTGTTATTGCTGAGTAGAAGCTCCAACTCCCTCCTAGGCCTCCACTGGGACCTCCTCTTTGGCTCCTAGGAGTGGAAATGCTTCATTATTCCCCACTATATGGCCTCCACTGATCCACTGAGAAGGGTGGCTTTATCACCTAGAGGTGATGAAAGTCTGGACCTACCACTTGGCCTCCTCTGAAGGGGGAGGAGCTCCTTGTTCCTGCCAGATGGGGGTGTAAGTCCAGGCTCCCACGTAGTCTCCACTGACACTCCTGGGCTGGCTACTCTGGGTGCCTTTCCTATTCGGTCTTTCTGACACCACCCTAGTGGTAGCAGCAGGGGAGAGGGTCAGGGTGCCTTGTACTGTCTGGTGAATGGAAGTCTGGGCTCCTCCCCCTGGACCTTTGCTGTCATGGGTAGAGAAGTGGTGTTCTAGGTGGTGCTTGGCTGGAATAGAGCATTTATTCTCTAGACGTTTTGTTTTGCTAGATTGTCTCCTACTCCTTTTGCTACAGAAGACAGGCTTTTCTTTCTGTTTGTGCTCATTGGTGCTTTCAGGTTGATGGCTTCTTTGGTTAATCTGAGATGTATGAAGCAAATGAAAATCCAAGGAATTCAGTGCCATGTCATGCCTTGGGTCCTCAGGTCCTAGCCAGTCTGCTTTCCTCCACCTTTCAGTCTTCTGTATGCTTTATATATGTTAAGGGACTTTAGTTGTGCTTAACTAAAAGAATAGAGAAGAGTATGTCTACTCCATCTTCCCAGAAGTCAGTCTCCATTTTACTTACTTTATATTGTTTTTGATCATGTTAGTATTTCAAAACCTAGGGGATCTTTTTTTCTGTTTTCACTCATGGTGTATCATTTTCCTTATTATAATTTTTTAAAAATTTAAGTAGCAAACCTGAGTACCTCAATTAGGATTACTTTCTTCAGAGAAGATAAACATCTGCCTCTGCCAGGAGCCACAGGCTTACTAACGAGGGACCATTTTAATTCTCTTCAAGGGCCCTAGTTTCATATAGAACTTTCAGGTTCAGTTGTCCTGTCCTGCAGTAGGAATGCTCAAGGGTTAGCAAATTCCAGAGCTATTACTGAATTTGTACCCAAGGACATTAGGGCATTTGTTTACCAATACTATCTAATCTTTCAGTTTACAATTTATCTTTTTTGTGGGACAGGGATTGGTATACTTTGAAGATTTTCCTTATTTTCTTGCAAGCCCAGAAATGCTTTTCAAAAACTACCTTTATTAGTCCAGGAACTGATGACACTGTGGCGAGAGGGCTGAAATCCCTTACATATGACATTTGGTAGTGTGCTGCTTTGAAAATGGCTGGAAAAACAGTATTCCTCATATGACTAGAGCTTTTTTTTAAAGGCCAGAAAACATAAAGGTTTTATTGTAGAGTTTTAAATTCCTTAATGAAACTTACCATTTTAGGTAGGTGAGCTAGATTATTAGAATAATGTTCAATTTTTCTTATCTATAGCAAAACTGAGCCTTGCTCACTCTATTACCATAACTGGGTTCTGCACCACTGACAAGCTTGGTCTTGAGAGGAGTTAAGAGCTAGAGAAAAAGAGAATATTGGAAGATACACTTGAAAATAGTGAGGTATTCCATCTATAAAACATGGTCTAACTTGCAGTCAATGGCCCAGCCTTCCTACAGAATTGCAGCTGTAGCTGAAAACTCCTTTGGTTTTTTTTCCCAAGAGAACAAACCAAAACTCTTATTTTATGCTCCTACAGCTAGCTCACTCTCATCCAATAACCTGATCAGAAGGTCCAGCTCCCTGCATTCCCCAGAGACATGAGATTTTTTTGATAACAAGTATAGTTTTATTCATGACTCTTCTTTCTTCTCTTTGATTAGTAAATAAATTTAAGAAGGTGACCATTTCTTGGTAAGTCAACAATCAAACTGGAGCTTCCACAAAACATTTTTTCCTCAGAATCTTGACTCTTCTACTTTAAAATCCTGCTTCAGAGATGGCCCTGTATAAACTTAATTCAGGGAGAGCAGTGATGACAGCTAGTACTTATTGTCAGGATGTGTTCTAAGTTCATTACATATTTGCTCCCGAAAACAACCCTAAGACATGGGCGTTTTGGCCATCCTCACTACAGATGAGGCAACTGCGGTACAGAGTCAAGTACCCGACGTCTCCCAGTGAGAAAGTGGTGGAACTGAACTCATCCTGGTCTGTCTGGTTCCAGAGTCTGCACAATAATCCTCTCGTAAGACTGTATATGGCCAAGACCATATCCAGTAGGTATGATCTGAGTCCCCCTAACAAAATGAAGTATTTTAGTACTGAACAGAAGTTAAATCACAAATACATTTATTCCTCTAGGAACAGTAAGCCATTTTTTAAATTAAAAAATTTTTATTATCAACTGCCTGTGTAGTTTCCTTATTCTTATTAAGCTGATTAAAAAAAAAAAACCCAGAGCAGAGCGATTAGCCAGCAGTCTTTAAGTTGCAAATCTGTCCTTTGTCACAGAGCAAGAATATACTTCAGATCAACTCAAGAAAATAACATGGAAGGAGTACCCACATCCTTTGTCATGCACTCCAGTGCCTCATGGCTCCCTTCTCAATTGGTTATAGAAAGAAACTGGGTTAGAAGTTAGTCTGAAAACAAGGAATTACTCAAGTGGATATGTTGGAGCACTGTTAAAAATATATTAAACACAGAGATACCCCAGATCTCTGTTCTAAACATTAGAAATATGTTAGCACAGAGAAAATATCTGCATTTTCTACTGCCGATGAATTTTTGCTTCTCCCTTTTTGATAATGTCTTTAATTTCTTCTGAGACTTCTCCTTCATAGTCATTCGGTTCTATGGCATTTAACATCTTCTGATACTCCAGTGGCAAACCATTCTCTTTTGCACCCAAGCAAATGACCTAGAAATGGTTGTAATAAACAAACAAACAAAAAAAATCTCTTTGGTTAGGAACATAACTTAGTACACCACAGCTTTATTTGAGGTATATCAAAATGTGAATATTAGCTTTCAGATAACTCTAGAGTTAACTCCAGAACAAACAACTAAAGAATGAACTAGAGATATAATCCTTCCTCTCGCATCAAGCATGAATGTGCAGGGAGTTTTCAAAGCCTTCATGGAACATCAATTCTACTCAATAATATGATTTAAAATATTTTTATATCAAGAGAAAAACTTTTGGAATTTGCATTATCTTTTAGGAAAAAAAACTCCATTCTTAAAAAAATGTAAAGTTTCCAGGGAACCTTTTAGTTTAATCCTGGAGTTTACCTGTAAATTAGATATGAGGGAATGAACAGCAACTGTGTTCAGTGATACTTCACAGATCCATAGCAGGGTAATTCCTCCAGGCTCCATACTAGAAAATTCCAGATTAGGCCCAGGGGCTGGGTTACCTACTCCAAGTGCCATGCCCTGACTGGGCCTGGCAAGAAGTACCTAAGTTTGGGTTTTTGGAAAGGGGTGTTGGGGACTCTATCTTACATTTTTTTCATATGCCTTGTGGGAGTGGTTTCCCTGATTCTGAAGGCAATGTGACTTTTTTCCCCCTCCATCTAGGGATGAAAAACATTTCAGCAATAGGAAATATATATTTTTCTCCATAAAAATGAATCTTGGTGTTCATGATATACTATTTCGTGGAGAGAAAAAAAATTACAAAAGCATATATACAGAATAAATCTAAAAATACACTCCATGTTATTTTCTACTTTAAGAAAGAAAATATGTATCTAGAATTATGACTCATATACATTTCTAAAAGTTTTAGGAACATAGTTCTATCATTACAAATCTGAACATTTTTCAATTTGCACTTTAGGTGAATAACTCATCTTTGTATTAAAAATATTTTCATTAAAATTAAGTGTTCATGTCAAACTTAAAACATAAAAGCCTTTTAAAAACAAGATATTCTTTAGCTCAATGAAAATTAAAAAGTAATCACCAAAACTCTTTGTAAGTAGCTTACCTTTTTATACTGGGGTGATGGGGGCACACTTTCATAATTTTTCACCAGATAACTTCGACAGGTTCTTTCTTTTCCTTCTTGAGTGTAAACATTAACTTCTATTGGGACATATGCTCCACTTTTAACCCCTTCTTGCCTGAAACCAGCACAGACAAATTTTAACCAAACTTAATTTAACCAAGTTTGTTAACTACATTAACAATTTAACTAAACTATATATGGATGTATTTGCTCCTTACATACTGTGGTAGTATAACATATTATAAATACTACCATATAAAAAGTAAACTTGGCATTTCAATTAGAAATCCTAAGACTCACTATTACTTGGCATACTTTTAACAGATCTTTTTATCCTATCTAAAAACATGTTTCAATGTAGTTATTTCAATATTTATACCCCTGAAACATTGTTCTCCAGGCAACAAAAAAAAAGGCTGTGTTCTGACAGCAAGAAAATATTCACCCAGAGAAAAGTAGAGAGGATGGCTCATTTCTGTTTGCAAGTGAGGTAAAGTATCAAGTACATCAGTTAATCTGTTCTTCTCAAGTCCTACTCTTTTTGGCCAACCTTCTTTACAATAAATGCTCTGTGCCACACAATTTCTGAGGACTCTAATTCTAAAAAGTATCAAAGCATTTCTAATATGTTGTTACAGTTTTTCAAATCATTATTTCCCACTGATTCAACTACCACCTTAGAGAATTATTTTTTAAAAACTGGGTCTAATGAAAACTCAACAACTGCTTTTGACAAAATCAATAAAAATATGTAAAAATTACAAAACCTGCATGCCTTTTCACAATATGAAACTACAAAGAGATTTTTATAAAAAACAAATAGAATGAAAATAAGGATACCCATCTTTTATAGAGGAGTAACTACAAATGTCCTCCCAAATTTCAATCAGAAAATGTGACTTTTCTTTTTAGAAAATATACATTAACTCTACTAGAGTTAAGAATATGTCTGTTGCTTATGGTTTTGAAAATCCAACAAATACATATACACATCCTTGCATATGATCTACTGTCTGAATTAGTAATTTTTAAACTTGTTATTAGAAGCACCTACTTATCCAGAGAAATTAAATTGCTTTTGTTCATTTTCCATACTACTCCCCATACTTCATCACCAGGACTTTGAAAAATGGTGGCTATACCTCCATGCCAAGTTTCACTTGTTTTGCCTTGGGGATTAGCAAAGTCAAGCTTAAAGTCCTACAAGGGAAAACAAAATGGTATGATCAATATCCACTTGAACCAAAATTTCCCTCCTAAAAATAAAAAAAGATTTACCTTGAACTCCATGCAATTAAAACATATTCTTTAGTTGCTTCTATACATAAGTATCTGTGGGAAATGCAAAGATAAACAAGGACACAGATCTCCAGGACTGTATTTTTCCATATTTTTCTTTAAAAATAAAATGCATATTGGATATGTCCATGTATCTTACCATAAACAAAAGGTTTAAGAGGGAAAATCCTGTAATGCCTATATGACTACTCTCATTTTTGAAAATTATTTTCCAGTCTCCTTATACATACACCAAATTTTAACTTAGGGCAATTGTAGTGAACATAACTGTTGAAACTGGGTGACAAGCTGGGGTTATAACATTCTACTTTCATGTATGTAGAGTACCCTGCTAGCATATATCACTATGTTTGCCCTAAGGGAGCTGGCATTTGAGGGTGATTTGGACACTTATAAACATTAACATTCATGGATTGTTCTCACGCATTTATAACAATAAGAGAGGCTAATATAAAATTACTGGGCTCTATACTCTATGCTATGAGCTTTCTATGGACTCCCATTTTTTACCTGTCAACTTTATTATACCCATTTAACAGTGAGAAAAACTGTGGCTTACAGAGATTGAACAACTTGCCTAAAGTCTCATAACTAATAAGTAATGGAAACAGGTTTCTAGTTTAGCTGCTTCTCACAGAGATGAGTAATCAGAGAACAGAGACCTGGGGAAGATTAAAAATCCTCACTTGGCTGTTTGGTCTGGGAAGATTTCTGTCCATCTTTCCAGAGCTTAGTTTCCAAAAAATGCTGGCCTAGATAATAAATCTAAAATTTATATTTTATCCCTCTCACTTTTATTTTCTTAAAAACTTTGTCAGACATTTGAGGAAAAAGGCTGCTTTGAGTGACCAGTACTTTCAACTGGTATATTGGATGTTCCAGGACCAAGCAACCCTGGCAAGAGATCTGATCAAAGTTACAGCCACACTAGGACCTGCTGCTTCTGACAGTTAACCACCCTGTCATGATCTGCCTCCCGCCTGACTTTCAAACTGTTCTTTGATAGCTTTTCTCTTTGCCAACTCCTCCTCCATTACCTGGTCTTTAAATATTGGTGTTTCTAAGGGCTCAGTTTAGGTTCTTTCTCTGTTCATTCAGTAATTTACCCAAGACAGTCTCATTCCCTCCAACGACTTCAAGTAGCATCCAGCATTCCAATCATCTTTCAATCAAGCCCAGATCTCTCTTCTGAGCTTCAGAAAGTGCTTAGAACAGGGCCTCACATATAATGAGTACTTAATAAATGTTTACTACTATTTTTCTGCTCACTTATATAACAAGCATCTCAAACTCAGTACGTTCAAACTGAGCTTGATTTTCCCTCCCAAGTCTGATTCTCCTCTTTACAAACATCACCATCATCCATCCTGTTGCACCNAGAAAAATTAGTGTCTTGCCAATGGGTTTCAGCCCTGGACAAGTTCATTATGGATTCAGTGTGAACAAGGAAATGACAATGGAACGTTCTTGGGGTGAAAGGGTTATACCCAACTTTATTTCCATGGTGGCAGGCCAATCACTAGAATCCCATCCACTCAGAGCGAGACTGCAAGCAGCAAGGTGGTCTCTGCCTCTGGACCTCTCTACCTGCACAGCCATCTGTCTCTGTCCTCAGCACTGCCACCACTCCAGCCTCTGATTTCCTGCAGCTCTGCAGCCGTGCCACTGTGTTGCCCAGAGCACTGGACAGAGCTCTTCATATAGAGTCAATAGCAACATATTGCCCACGTGTGTAGTGAGCTAGCCGACCAGGGCCAGGTGAGAATCCTGGCCATAGAAACCTTCACTTTATCCACAATTAGAAACATTTTTCTTCTAGGATACTTAATTTTGTCTTCCATGTCTTTTAAACTTTTTCATATTTTCCATATCCTGTTTCTCTGTATTCCAAGTAACTTCAGTTCTGTCTTCCCACTCATCAATAATTTTATAGATATTTGAATCTGCTGTTTATCTCATCTGTGGAAGGTAGGTTAGTGCTACTGTGATGTCCATGTCCTACACCTGGAAGCTGTGACTATAGCAAAGGAGAATTAAAGTAGCAACTGGGGTTAAGCCTGCTACGCAGCTGGCTTTGAGATGGGAAGATTATCATGGCTTTAGTGGGGGCCCAATGTAATCACAAGGGTTCTTATAAGTGGAAGGCAGAAGGAAAACCAGAGATGTAACTGGAGAAGGACTTGGCCTGATGTTGCTGGCTTCGAAGATGGAGGAATGGGGCTCTGAACCAAGGAATACAGGTGGTTCCTAAAAGCTGGAAAAGGCAAGGAGATGGATTCGCCCACAGACCCTCCAAAAGGAACATAGTCCTGCTGACACTTCAATTGTAGCCCAGTAGACCTATCTCAGACTTCTGACCTCCAGAACTGTAAGATAATACATATGTGTTGTTTCAGCCACTAAATTTGTGGTAACTTGTTACAGCAGCAATAGGAAACCAATACACCATCCACTTAAGTTATTAGTTGCAACAATATTTGCTTTCCATGAGTCCTTTGATTCTATTTTTAGTTTTCTTGGTCATTATTAATATTCTCCTGTTCTTTGCTGATTCTGTTATTTTTTTAATAATACATATTGTTTTTCATTAAACTCTTTAAGATAATTATAAATCCACATGCAGCTGTAAGAAAGACTACAAAGAAATCTATGTACCCAACCCAACCTCTCAATAATTCAATGGGTAACTGTATTCACCCATATTGTTGCTTACCAATTTTTTTCCTTTCTGGTGTTCCAAAGTTCCTTCTCTTAGTATTTCCTTTCTGTTTAGAGAAGTTTCTTCAGTCCTTTGTTTAGTGTAGGTCTGCTGGCATCAAATTTTCCTAGATTTCTTTATTTTTCCCCCTTATTCTCAAAGGCTATTTTTACTGGATTCTGTGTTAACAGTTCTTTTCTTTCAGCCTCTTCTGGCTTCCATGGTTTCTTATGAGAAGTCTGGGGTCATTTGAATGGTTTTTCACCTGTAGATAAGGTGTCATCTTTCCTTCACTGCTCAAGAATTGTTGTTCTTAGTTTTCATAAGTTTGGCTATAATGTGTCTGGTGTGGATTTCTTTGGGTTTATGTTTGAGGCTCACTCTGTTTCTTTTCATTAATGTTAGCTACTATTTACTAGGCAACAGTTGTAAACCAGGCTATTTTCTGCACACTATCACTAATCCCACCACAGAGCTAGAAGTTAGGCATCTGCTAGGTTAAACCACATGGAACTGTCATGGCTTCACTTTGCTTCTTGGATCTGTAGGTTTATGTGTTTTGCCAAATTCAGGACATCTAAGCCATGATTTCTTTGGGTACTTTCTCAGCCTGCCCTCTTTATTCTCCTGAGACTCTCATGACACAAAGTTTAGATCTCCTACTATAGCTTCACAGGTCCCTGAGGCTCTGTTGTTCTTTTTTCTATTTCTCTCTGCTGTTTAGACTGAATAATTTCTGTTGTTCTATCTTCCAGTTCACTGTTTCTTTCTTCTGTCCTCTCCATTGTGCTGTTGAGCCCATCCACTAAACTTTAGATTTTAGCTGTTACATTTTTCAGTTCTAAAATTTCCATTTGGTTTTTTGTATCTTTTCTTTCTTTGCTGAGAATTTATTTTCATTTGGTTTAAGCATGTTTCTCATTGTTCACTGAAGCGTTTTTATGATGGCTACTTTAAAATCTTTGTCAGGTAATTCTAATATGTCATTTCAACATCTACTGATTGTCTTTTTCACTTAGTTTGAGATCTTCCTGGTTTTTGGAATGAGTGATTTCAATTAAACCTGGACATTTGGAACTCGTAAGACTCTGAATCTTACTGAAATCTTCCATTTCAGCTGGCTTCCTCTGAAACTATTCCAGCAGAGAAGGCTAGGGGACACTATCTTGCTACAGCTAAATGAAGGTAGAAGTTCAGGTTCCCACTTAGTTGCTATTATCACCCAAGGGAGGGTGCACCTTGTTATTGCTGAGTAGAAGCTCCAACTCCCTCCTAGGCCTCCACTGGGACCTCCTCTTTGGCTCCTAGGAGTGGAAATGCTTCATTATTCCCCACTATATGGCCTCCACTGATCCACTGAGAAGGGTGGCTTTATCACCTAGAGGTGATGAAAGTCTGGACCTACCACTTGGCCTCCTCTGAAGGGGGAGGAGCTCCTTGTTCCTGCCAGATGGGGGTGTAAGTCCAGGCTCCCACGTAGTCTCCACTGACACTCCTGGGCTGGCTACTCTGGGTGCCTTTCCTATTCGGTCTTTCTGACACCACCCTAGTGGTAGCAGCAGGGGAGAGGGTCAGGGTGCCTTGTACTGTCTGGTGAATGGAAGTCTGGGCTCCTCCCCCTGGACCTTTGCTGTCATGGGTAGAGAAGTGGTGTTCTAGGTGGTGCTTGGCTGGAATAGAGCATTTATTCTCTAGACGTTTTGTTTTGCTAGATTGTCTCCTACTCCTTTTGCTACAGAAGACAGGCTTTTCTTTCTGTTTGTGCTCATTGGTGCTTTCAGGTTGATGGCTTCTTTGGTTAATCTGAGATGTATGAAGCAAATGAAAATCCAAGGAATTCAGTGCCATGTCATGCCTTGGGTCCTCAGGTCCTAGCCAGTCTGCTTTCCTCCACCTTTCAGTCTTCTGTATGCTTTATATATGTTAAGGGACTTTAGTTGTGCTTAACTAAAAGAATAGAGAAGAGTATGTCTACTCCATCTTCCCAGAAGTCAGTCTCCATTTTACTTACTTTATATTGTTTTTGATCATGTTAGTATTTCAAAACCTAGGGGATCTTTTTTTCTGTTTTCACTCATGGTGTATCATTTTCCTTATTATAATTTTTTAAAAATTTAAGTAGCAAACCTGAGTACCTCAATTAGGATTACTTTCTTCAGAGAAGATAAACATCTGCCTCTGCCAGGAGCCACAGGCTTACTAACGAGGGACCATTTTAATTCTCTTCAAGGGCCCTAGTTTCATATAGAACTTTCAGGTTCAGTTGTCCTGTCCTGCAGTAGGAATGCTCAAGGGTTAGCAAATTCCA